CAAAAACAAAAAAACTGGCACATGCGCAGAACGGACTGTACCCCCTCTTTAAGTTACAGACGGTGAGAGGAAGAAATTACGATAAGGTATGTGAATTTTATGAAAGTCTTTGCAAAAACTATGACGCACTGCAAACGTTGAATGAAGAAGCTATGTTAAAGGGGTTGGTGGTATCTACTTTAAATAAACTCCCCCAGGTTAAGCCTGATTTAGTACGTATTGATGATAATTGGGAAGATTGGAACATGAAACAATTGTTATCAGCATTACAGAGGTGGTTGAAGCGTAACAAAACAGAAGAGGTATCAACTAAGGAGCATGAAAACCCAAGAAAGAGGGAGCGAAACTGTATACCCAAAAGGGAGGAGAGTTTACCAATGGTAAAGGCAAGGGCCCGGTCTGTATTTATTGCGAAGGACAGCACTGGGGAGACAAATGCACATCGTATGACTCTGTGACTAAGCGTAGACAGTTCTTTGTTGAAAAACGACTGTGCTTTAATTGTGGTCGATCAGGCCACCGCGAAAGTAAATGTCGCAGTAGGGGGTGCTACAAGTGCAAGGGCAAACATCACACTAGCTTTTGTGATAAACTGCAGGAAAACAATAATCGAGAAAACCACAACGCAATGTTAAATGGATATTCCCCATCCTCTGAAGAGAAGTCTTTACCAGCTATTGTGCCACTTAAAATTAAGGGTAAGACATTTTGGGCGTATCTCGACACGGGCTCTGGGAGAAGTTTCATCTCGAAGGAAGCAGTGCGACAATTAAGACTATCACCCCAGCGCCATGAGAGTAGAAACATCCTAACTGTAAACGGGTCCAAGAAGGCATCAATGCCAGTGTTTGAAGTAACAATCAATTCAGTTGATGGAAGGGCAAGTGAGAATATCGAGATTACTGGTACAGAAATGCCAGATTTTACAACTGTGAAAAGACCGACTTTCATAGAGCTAAAGGAGAAATACGAGCATCTTCGCGAGAAAACATTCTACCGGTCAGAAAGCGAAGAGTACCCCATCCATGTCATATTGGGCGATGCTACCTATTTCAAAATACGGACTGATCAAGTCTACAAGGGAAAATCAGAGGATCCGATTGTAGAAGGAACGACCTTCGGTTGGGTAGTTCATGGCGGCCAAGATTACGCAGACTCAAGGTGCATGTATGTTTGTGACCATAGTGATTATGAACAGCTCTATTCCCTAGATGTCTTGGGAGTAGAGGATCGAGGGGAGAAAGATCAGTCAACAATTTATGCAGAATTCCAAGAAAGCATCACTAGAAAAGAGGATGGAAGATACGAAGTTGCTGTTCCATGGATACCTGGAGCTGTATTGTCAAACACTAATGAAGAACCCAGTAGGAAGAGACTCCACAATGTAAACAGGAAGTTGAAACAGAATCAACAGCTCAAAGATGAATACGAGAAAATTGTGCATGAACAGTTGAAAGACGGAGTCATTGAAAAGACCAAAGAGAGCTCGACTAGTGAACGTGTGTTCTACATGCCACACAAACCGGTAATTAAAGAAAATGCCTCTACAACCAAGGTGAGAATGGTGTTCGATGCCAGTGCCAGACCCCATCCAACGGCCAATAGCGTCAATGAATGCATGCACACTGGCCCCCCACTTCAACCATTGTTATGGGACATATTAATCAGAACCAGAATGTCAACCCATCACCTACTCGCAGACTTGCAGAAGGCGTTTCTGCAGGTTGGTTTGAAGGAAGATGATCGAGATGGGTTTCGGTTTCTGTTTGACATTAACGGTCAAGTAGAACATTTAAGATTTACTCGTGTGCCTTTCGGCGTGGAAGCCAGCCCATTTATGCTTGGTGCCACCCTGCAACACCACTTCAATCTGCAGCCAGAAGAGTACCAAAACACCATTGAGTCGTTAAAAGAGAACACTTATGTTGATAATCTAATGAAGACCGGAAGTGATATTGCAGATCTTGAAGATTTCAAACGCGAAGCGACAGGAATCCTAGAAGACGCGAAGTTCCCAGTCCACAAGTGGGAGTCGAATGTTGAAGAACTTGACAACGAATCAATTCCCAGCAAAATACTCGAACATAAATGGAATAAGAGAGAAGAGACACTTGAGATTCGAGCAGAACCTACAAAGGAAGAAACACCAGTGACAAAGAGACATATTCTTAAGGAACTCAGTAGCATATATGACCCTGTGGGAATAATATCGCCGACCATGGTTGAAGGGAAGCGCATCTATAGAGAAGCGTGTGATGAGAAAGTCGGCTGGAATTCAGAAGTATCTACCAGCACGTCCAAAGATTGGATAAAGTGGCGACAACAGTTAAGAAACGTGAAATTTCCGAGAAGTCTAGCAAGGGAGATTCGAGAGGTGAAAGGTATACATTTGCATTTATTTGCTGATGCAAGTTTCACAGCGTGCTCGGCGGTCAGTATAGCAGTAATCGAACATTCCAGTGGAATAGTTAAAGGTCTTCTTACGTCAAAGTCCAGAATTGCCAAGAGAAACACTTCCATACCAAGGCTGGAATTAGTTAGGGGTCAGATGGCTGCCAATATGGCTAAGAATTTGGTTGCCGCATTGAGAAGATGGCCAATTGCATCAGTTACAGTGTGGATGGACAGCCTGGTTGCTTTGTTTCGGATTGCAAGCCCAGAAAGATCCTGGAAAATCTTTGTATCAAATCGGACGCGGAAGATTGCTGCAATTACGGAAGAAGTAGGCATCAGTTGGAAGTACTGTCCATCCGAGGAAAATTTAGCTGATTTAGGGAGTCGGGGAGCTTCAATCGACAAAATGGAAAAGGACGGTTGGTTTAATGGTCCCGAGTGGCTAGTTAACCCAGACAAATGGCCAAAACAACCAAATCTCGAGAGAACAAAGACTGTCCTGGACGAGCAAAAGCCGATGACGGAAGTAGCTTTCAATACGGAAGAAAAGGGTCCGGACGACGTGTTACTGCGTGGGCGTTAAGATTTGTAAGCAATGCAAGAGCCAGAAAACAGAAAACTAACCTAGCGAAAGGTCCACTGACGACGAACGAGCTAGAACAGTCGAAAGTGCGATGGGTGAAGAAGGTCCAAGAAGACATGAGTTCAGAGCTACAAGCACCTGGATTGGAAGTCATACGAGAAGGTGATTCTGGTTTACTGAATTGTAAAGGTCGAATTCCCGGGTATCAGCCGATATACTTGGAAGGAGGAGACTTTACGGACAAATTAATTATGCATACACACAATGAGATACGTCATTTTGGTATCGCGAAACGATGGCCGCACTAAGAGAGAACTGGTGGATTCCGAGACTGCGCTCGAAAGTTAAAAGGATCATTAACGAATGCAACTTATCTAAAGCGTACCGAGTCAAACCATATGGTCGTACAGCAACTGCCGAACTACCTACGTTTCGAATCTAAAGCGGACGACCATTTGAAACAACGGGTGTTGATTTTGCGGGTCCCCTCATATATAAGCTTACCAAGAAAGAAGAAGGCAAGTGCTACATCCTAATATTTACATGTGCTACATCCAGAGCCATGCATCTGGAGTTGACGAAGACACAATCGGCGGAGGAATTCAAAGTCAAGCTAAACGCCTTCATCGCAAGAAAGAGCAGACCAAAGTTGATTGTGTCGGACAACGGAGGAGCGTTTAAAGCGACAGCGTTATGGATCAGAAAGATACGTAAAAGTGAACGACTGCAAGATTATTTGTCAAGACAAGAGATTCGGTGGAGATTCAATCTATCCAAGTCCCCCTGGTGGGGTGGAATGTACGAACGCTTACTTAAGGACATTAGAAAAGCCCTGTATAAAGTTCTGGGAAGATCGACATTATGTTTCGACCAGTTACAAGCTATCGTAATTGATATTGAGAAAAAATGTAAACAATAGGCCACTGACGTACGTCGAAAGCGAGCAAGAAGAGGAACAAGTGCTCACACCAAATACAATTCTGTGGGGACAAAACGTGCATACCATTGACGAATCAGACACGGATGATGGAGAAGAAGTCGTGAAGTTACACAAACGAATGAAGCATGCAGAAACGAGAACACGCGTGGCAAAGATGGAAGACGGAGTACGTACATAGTTTGATGGGACATCATCGAGTGATTAAAGGGGAAAATGCGTGTCCAGAAGTGGGAGAAATGATGTTGGTGGTCGGTGAGGAAAAGATTCGAGCTGAATGGAAACGGGGAAAAGTTGTTGAGCTAATCAAGGGCAAGGACAACGTTGTGCGAGGAGTAAAGATCTTGACGAAGGGAAATACGATTGAAAGACCGCTTTCTCTTGTTTGCTCTCTCGAACTCAAGGAAACAGAGATTGAAGAACCGAAGCCAAAGGAGACGAAGCCAAAAGAAACGGACGAAAGCGGACAACGGAAGAGTAAGAGACAAGCGGCAAAGGACGCTAGGTGTAAAATACTGCAGTTGATACAAGAGGAAGAAGATTGAACTGAGAATGGAACACGACATAATGTCGGACATTTGATTGCAAACTTTAACTTTCTAGTTGATATTAAATATAAAATTAAGAAAAACATTTAATTTTAGAGGGGAGTGTGAACGAACATATTATAGATAGGGGTATTGGGTTATCTGTGGGTAACAAGCCTGTTCGCGGGCGACCTGAGTATCGGGAAAAACAACGAACATGTGAGACTTTGTGAGCGAGAGTTTTGTGTAAAAAGTGGGAGTGTTTATAGTTTATTAAACTTTACTAAAACATAATACGAGAGTTTTAGTGTGCCGACACAAGTTCGGCACACCCTGTTTAAGAAATAGAAAGCATACGAATCTCCTCATTTCATGGGAACGACCTGAGACTGCAATCACAGCTTCAATTTTTGAATTGCAGAATAATTAGATGCACTATCTAGTGTACAGGGTGTATCAAAAAAGCGCAACCTCGGAATTTCCCAAGAAATCGACATTGTTTTAAAGACAAAAGATTTTAGGCGGCTGGGAACTTAAAAAAGCATAACTGTCCAAATTACTGCACACGTGAGTGCATAAAGCAAAATTTATGCATTTATTTAATGCACAACAACAGTAATATGATCTATTAGCAATTCGATTTCAATTCCCAGGGGCCTAAAATCTTTTATCTTAAGAATTGCAAAGTGATTTCTTAGGAAATTCCGAGGTTGCGTTTTTTTTTATACACCCTGTATATAAGATATCTATGCCCTGAACCAAATGTTATACCTCATAACAATATGTATTATTAGAGCAATGCATGAAGCTAGAAAACTCAACGTTAACTATAATTAAAGAATCTATAAAATAGTATAAGCTATTGAAAAAAAATGCTGCGAAAGAAAGTGTGCAAAAAAAAATCGTACATGGTGATGGGATAAAAAAAATCTTGCACATAACGATCCCAGAAAAAAAATTCCCTGCCAGCAGTCATGTGCAAATGCTCTGTACAGTGTGTCCCCAAAAAAGTACGGCTTATAACAATAGGATACTTTCTATAGAGAATACTTTTTTGGGGACACACTGTAGGGCCTGTACAGGGTGTATAAAAAAAAACGCAACCTCGGAATTTCCTAAGAAATCACTTTGCAATTCTTAAGCATAAAAGATTTTAGGCCCCTGGGAATTGAAATCGAATTGCTAATAGATCATATTACTGTTGTTGTGCATTAAATAAATGCATAAATTTTGCTTTATGCACTCGCGTGTGCAATAATTTTGACAGTTGTGCTATTTTAAATTCCCAGGCGCCTAAAATCTTTTGTCTTTAAAACAATGTCGATTTCTTGGGAAATTCCGAGGTTGCGTTTTTTTTATACAGGGTGTCTCAAAAAAAACCAAAATCATTGAAATAACGTATTGTTCGAATTTCAATGCCGTAACACAAAGGATTTTGACAGGGTGATTAATTTGTTTTAAAAAATTAAAATATCTTTGTAAAGTGAACGTTTGTTTGCTCATGGGAATTTAAAAATGCTTCGTAAATTGTAATATGCGTAATATGCATTCGTGGGTTTAGTACTTTATGCCTGACATAACAAGTTTACGCTGAGTATTACCATTCATTATAGCAGTTATGTCAATCTTTTATGCACTCGTGGGATTAACTTAGTGCTAGGGCATTGAATATCGAACAATACGTCAATTTCAATGATTTTGGGTTTTTTTGAGATACCCTGTACACCCTGTAGATTAAATTGCTTTATTCGTCGAAAAGCCATGCTGTTTGTGATAGCGTAGTTGAGTTCCCACTTAATACGCTACAGCGGCCCGGTAAAAACAAAAGAAACCCGCGCAACTATGCTATTATAATAACATGATCACCTCGATTTTTATTGTTCTGAGAGGGGATGTAAATCCGAATATCCCTCACTTCCTATCATACGCTTTTGTCTTCTAAATTTCCCCGGTGCAATTAGGGAGATTTTCTGCTTTGTTCAACATTTTGTTGTGTCATGTATATTCAAATTATTTTCGTATAAAATCATGACACGTGTTTATGGTGTTCATTATTAGTTCATACTGTTTGTCGCTGTGCTAGTCTGGAGAAGTCATTTCAGAAGCTCTTCTCGTGAAAAATTCTCTAGGAGCTAAATTCTTTCGGAGCTAAATTCTTGTTTGGTAAGTGAACAACTTTTTGAAGAGAAATTTTTATCTTGTTCATCCTCGACATGCATTATTGTGTTAATAATTATTTAATCAATTCTCTTTTAGAATGAAGAACAACGACACTGCAGCTTTTCCGCTGTTTTACTTTGCGAGAACCATTATGAAATCTACGACTAAGAATATATCCCCCGCCTTTGAATTCCTCGCCTGCATGGTGGCGTCGAATACAACGAAGAAGTGATTGGTTTCACAACCAAGTAAACCTTCTGTAACGCGAAGCCGTGGAGACGCTGAATAGTGGCCCAGGTTGAACACCACGACAACGACAACGACAACGAGATTGTTGCCGAAATGCTCGCAGCTCGCGACTGAACGCCAGATCAAAATCATCGCAATCTGTTGCGTTTTTCACCGTCGGCCAACTGCCACACGAAGTGTGTCGACGCCCAGACAGCATTCGTTAGAGCGAGCTTGCAGAAAGACCAGCATGTGCTTCGTTTATACAACACCGTTTTGGTCGATTAAACAACATGGACAAGATTATGATGCTGTCTCGGCATGCTTTCTACAAGGTAAAACCTTTTTCTCATGATCATTCTAAGACAAATACAACACACCGTACTTAACATGGATTTGAACTGCGATGAGAAATATGTTGTTTATTTTCAAATAAAATAAAATAAAATAAAATTACTTAGTTATGCTATAAGCGTTTGAAAAGTAGGAGAAAGTTGCGGATTTATAGAAACTCGACTGCCCGTGGGCAAAAACGTTTCCGTTTCGAACGAATTTCTGGTCGAGAATTGACTGGGATGGTTTGATATTTGTACATAACATATATTTGTACGACAATATTAAACTGATGTAACAACGTTTTTATTTCGTAGTTTTTCAAATGAAATCTCTCTTTCCAAGCCATTAAACTTGTAATCTGCGAGTCGACGCACCCTCGTGCACAAATTCCTTCGAAATAAATTTCTTTGAAAATCATATCTTTGACAATGGAAGCACTGCATGTCCCACAATGCCATGCAGTCATGTGCCACGAGGAAGGAGGAAACTTTAATAAACCTCTCTTTAAACGTTTCTACAAAATATTTCTATTATGTACCTATCAATGTTTTCCCCCTGAGGGGGAGGGGGGTGGGTGGGGGGCGGGCAACCCAGGGGAATTTTGACATTTTTGAAATTTTATCGTCAAAATCCCCACTGTTGGGCAAGGAACGGCTGTCAAAATTAATATTCCCCACTATATTCCTAAGATAACAAGGCACACATATATTTTCCAATGCGAACATACAGTCTATACTGGTTTAAACTTGGTAAAAATTGAGACACTGTGTATAAAATACCTTTTTCGATGAAACTTGATCGTGCTTCTCCGCCATACTTGTTACCAGGCCTTTTAATGTCAAAACCGCGCAAACTTTCAAGATGGCGGATGTCAAAATTTCCCGACTCTGGGAGTTGATGCATAGGTCAAATTTCCCTCCCTGGTGCTTCATAGTGTGATCAAAGTCCCCTGGGTCGCCCCCCCCCCCCCATCAGCGGGAAAACAATGATAGGTGCATTAATATCGATATTTTAATCTTTTATACCAGTATTAAATTGCAAAGGAGCTGTGAAAGCAAGATGAAAGCAAGATAGTTTGAGAGACGTCAAATAGTACTTCAAGACAAGTCAGGTGTCGAAGTTTCGCTTCGAATTTTACCGCAACTGGGCGAGGCCACAACCGACTTCAAACAACATGCTTATAAAACAACGCATTTTAAGGTATATTTTCGCTTCTATCTGTCGTATTCATATATTTTAAGCTTTCCTATAGTTGCATGAATAGTCTACATGTTTTAATACGAGTATTTGAAAGAAACGTTTATGATAAGGTTTGTAATTTCGTGATGAAATACATGTGGTTTTCGAGACACGTGGCGCAAGCCAAGGTATAAAAGATTGGTAAATGTTTTTATTTTTCTTTAATGTTTCTTCCTTGTTATTGCTATATATATTATACATGAAATGAATCAAAGTTCGTTATGAATAAAAGTGTATTTTTACTTTAGTATTGCACTGCAGGGGTTGAGGTTTTGTACTTGTACATGTACATGTACATGCACATGTACAAACAAACCCAATAAAAACCAATCCAGGGTGCATTTTATTACTAACAAAGTGGCTATTCGTACTGGAACAGTATAGTACACCAAGTTTGGTTTGGTATTTGTACTGCAGTCGGAATATTTAAGATAAACAGACCCGAAACCCTTCCTAATGTACAAGTCAAATCCAGTCGTGATCAGAACCCCCCCCCCCCCGGGCAACCCTTGGTGAATTCTGAAAAAAATAAGTGGTCAAATTTCCGCCCGAACAAGCAGAAACCACAGTCACATGCCGTGCTATAGGGATACTCCTGGTTCTGGAATTTTGGCTAAAATTAAATTGAACAAGTATTTCAAGATTAAGAAGACTGAAAAATATGCCAGCCAGTTCCTCTTTTTGTTCAAACGGGCATATTGTATATATCTATGATTGATATTTGTGATTCAGAAGAATTTTTAAACTATTGAAAAGACGTAAAAGAGAAAACTTCTGAAAATTTTAAAAGCGCTAGAGTGTACACATATTTTTAGGGACAACGGCTGAGCCAGGTTTTGTCAAATGCCCATAACGGGCTGTCAAATTCCCGCCTATAGGGA